ACACTACACACACACACACACACACACACACACACACACACACACACACACACACACACACACACACACACACACACACACACACACACACACACACACACACACACACACACACACACACACACACACACACACACACACACACATATATATATATATATATATATATTAGGCTTTACCGTTTTACATTATTAACTTTTTACTTTTTTATTTCGCGTAATATTGGCGTAACTAGCGAGTGTAACTGCCAGCATGAGAACGCGCCATGTCTCGCTCTCTCAGTTCAACCCGCCGCGCCTCCTGCGCCGGTAATGATATTCAATCATGTGACCATTACGTCACGAGCAGCTACGCGCTGTCATTCCACCGAAGGGTATGCCTATAGATTCAGAAGTGAGTATTCTGCGGTTCCAGTCGCAAGTAGATTTCCTCTTCAGTCTCCGATCTGCTTATCATCAGCTTTCTGCAAGTGTTTGAGCATGAATTTATAGCAGTTAGAGCGTAGCATGTTCGTTTTAAGAATAGCGTAAATGTGAGAGGAACGAGAGAGAGAATACGCGCGCCTGAGTTTCGTCTGTTTGAAAGTGACGTCTCTAATCACGTGGTGTTCGCATGTTTCCGCACAGGTACAGGCTCATGTGTACAAGTCTGCGACACAACTGCCGACAATGATGAACGGAGCGTTTTTCGAGGACGCTGCCTGCAAGGTGGACGGACTGTCGGCGTCTTGTCTGCAACCCGGACCGCTACACGTGCCGGGTAAGCGGCTGTCGTCGACACCGGTGATACCGCTACATGGTTACCGTAGTCCCGGGGTCGTGCAGAATATAGAGACGGACGCTACGATCGTACACAGGCCGCCGCAAGCATGGAACTACACGACGGCTAGTGACCACGGCGGGCTGGACCCCACGCACTCACAGTTCAAGCAGAATCTGTGTCGCGACCCCGGCCTAACTAGTGCATATTACCCGGCGGCCGAGATGTCGAGAGAGCGAAAGTCGCTGGACATCTGGCATGGCGGTCATCCGACGTATAACATACCGAATAGTATGCACGGACACACGGCGACGGGGGCGACGGGCACGGATGCGTGGAACTCCTTCTCAGGACAAGGATGGTGTAACTATCCTTGTCCTGCTAGATTACCTCCGCACATGGAGTCTCAGCACCGGCCCTACCTGCACGGGGAGGATAGACAGTCCGGGTTCGAGTCATGCCGCACAGCGACCTCTAGTCTCTATGATACCACAGGTAAGAAACCTAGCAGCGATCCGCCGCTATACAGTTGCTCCAAACAGCCGCTCGTCGCACAGTTGTAACTTTTATTGGCCTATTCGGCTAGTTTTATTATATTTTACAACCGCGCTGTGTAAGTGGCCAACAGTCGCACCGTGTTTTACACATTTGTGCGTTATGTGGCTGTAAAATAATAATAAAACCAGGTAATGTCCAGTATAAGCAACGGTGACCTACAGCCAGTACCTGAAGGATGACGGATTCGCCCCCTAATCGATGCGACGGGGCAGGTTGCATGCCGCCTAGCTCTCCTGGGCTACTCGTTTCATTTTATGTCGATTATAAAGTTTTAATCACTTACTAACTTTCTTCATACGTTGTGCGCAGTTTTATTTTTTACTTAGCGTATGGTGATGTCATGAAGTCACAAGCTGACAGTTTTACTATTACGCACTTGTCGCTATATATAATGCGAACACCTATATGTGTGTAAAATATTTAAAATATGTCAATTAGCAATAAACTAACAATTTATAAATTAATCACATTTACGCACATCTTTACAACGACATAAGCACGGCCATAGACATTCGATAAATCGCTTTTATGGGGAAATATAGTGACTAGTGGCGCGAAGATACTAAACTGATATACTGACCTACACACAAGAATTGCTACCATCTATTCACTACGTAGTACGTATATTTATATATATATATAAATATATATATATATATATATATATATATATCTCTCTCTCTATATATATATATATATATATATATATATATATATATATAT